ACAATTGGTGTCTCGCATAGAATATTTTATGTCTAATCTAATATTTTTAATTTTCTTTAAACTATAATTTATGGTTTATGTTGTTTTCGATCAAATCACAAGTTGTCCCATATAGATATTTCATGTGTATTAAAAATTCCTAATTTTCTTTGTACTAATGGTTTATTTTGTTTTTTGACCAAATCATAAGTTGTCAGTTCGGATAGAATATTTTATACGTACTCCAAAGTTCTCAAATCTTTTTTGACTATAACCCATAGTTTTGGTTATTTTCAACCAAATAACAAATTATCGTTTCACATAGAATATTTATGTGTACGTTAAAATTCTTAAATTTTGTGGATTATAACCAATGATGGTACCCCTTTTCATCGAGATCACACGTCATCTCATATAGAATATATTATGCGTACAGTGAAATTTTCGTATTTCTATGGACAATAACGTATGATTTTGTTTGTTTTCCAACTAATCATGAGTGTAGATGTTGTGTCAGTGGTGTTCACATGCAATTTATCATTATTGTATTTAAGATCTACGATGACAATTTTGCAACTTTAGCCTTCTTAGTGGTGTCCTATTCTAATTCTAGTGATGTCCTAACTACAAAGTAATAAAGACGAATAAAAATACTTAAAAGTATGTATAAAACAGGTAATCCTGTGGTGTCTTGTGACACCAATGGACACCATATAAAACAAACAATCCAGTGGTGTCTGTGACACCAATGGACACCATGTGACTCCGTCATTGGTTGTCCTGCATAGAATAGTTTTTGTGTAATTTAAAATTTTTGAATTGTTGTGGACTATAATTTATGATTGTGATTGTCTTTGGTCAAATAACAAATTACAATATTACATAGAATATTTTATGCCCATTCTTAAGTTTCCAAATTATTGTGAGCTATAATCTATAATTTTAGTTGTTTTCAACCAAATTAGAAATGCCCGCTCGGCCGCTCACATAAAACATGCGTATTCCACAGTTCTAAAATTTCTATGGATTATAACTTATGATTGTGGCCATTTTTTATCAAATCATAAATTATCGTTTCACATAGAATATTTAATGCAAACTCTATAATATCCAAAGTTTTATGGACTATAACTCATGATTTTTGTCATTTTTGACCAAATCACAAATTGGCATTTCGAATAATATTTTATGTGTACTGACAAATTCCCAAGTTTCTTTGAACTATAACTTATGGTTTATGACGTCTTCGACCAAACCACAAGCTATTCTCGCACAAAAAGTATTTTATATGTACTATAAAATTCTCAAAATTTTGTTTGACTTTACCTATGATTTTTGTTGTTTTCAGTATAATCATAAATTGTCGTTACACGTAGAATATTTATGTGTACGCCAAAATTCCCAAAATTGTGGATTATAACCTATGATTGTGCCCCTTTTCGTCCAAATCACATGTTATCATTCTGTATAGAATATTTTGTGTACTGTGAAAATTTCTGAAGTTTTGTAGACTATATTCCATGATTTTTAGTTTTTCTAACCAAATCACAACTTCCCGTCCTACATCGAATAGTTTTTGCATACTCTGAAATTTTCAAAATTTTGTGGCTTAATAGTCCACAATTTTGATTAGTTTCCGCCAAATCAAAAATTGCGGTCCTGCATAGAATAGCTTATGCGTAGTCCCAAGTTTCTGAATTTTTGCGAATTGCAATTTGTGGTTTTGGTCGTCTCGACCAATCAGAAATGCCCTAACCCTGGGTATAGAATATATAATGCATACCCTAAAATTCCGAAATCTATGTGAACAATAACTAATTTTTGTGACCATTTTCGACCAAAAAATTGCCATCTTGTATAGAATTTTTTATGCGTACTCTAATATTCCAAATTCCTATGCACTATAACCCATGATTGATGCGTTTTTGACCAAATTACAAGTGTTAGTGTTAATCCCATAAAATATTTGATGCGTACTTAAAAATTCTTAAATTTCTTTGAACTATAACTCATTGCTGTCCCGCAGATAAAAGTTGGGAATGTGGGATGCTATAGTGAACCGTGACGCGGGTTCAATTGTGACGCCCCATGTTTAGTCCCACATCGGGAAATGTATGAAAAATGTAGTGGCTTAAATAGGTAAGCCTAAGACTTAAATATAGCATCGGCTAGTTGATTTGACAGTGATTTGAGCCAAATAGCGCGCTACACTCGGTGGGTCCTACGGCTTGTACCGCACCAATAGGCCTGCGAGTCTGAGACGTGACAAATGGTATCAGAGCAAGTTACTAGCTGGAAGTGTAGAGCTAAGTGTTATGCGGGGGTAAGTGCTACACCGCGTGAGCGCAGTAGGAGCCATCTTTAGAGCCGTAGGTGTCACCTCTAGAGTCCACATCGCTTGGTGATATTGGGATGTAGTGATGTACCAATTATCATGTCACAATGAGGACATCACATATGTAAGGTAGGGTGATTGTGGCACCCCATGTTTAGTCCCACATTGGGAAATGTATGAAAATTTAGTGGCTTAAATAGGTAAGCCCTAGAGTCAAGTGTAGCATCGGATAGTCGATTTTGGTAGTGGATTGAGGCAAACAGCGCGTTACACTTGGTGGGTCCCACAGCTTGCATTGCACCTACGGGCCCGGGGCATGACATCAATCATTTTGGATTCACGTGGAACACGACCCAACTCACCAACTTTAGTGACCCGACTTAAAATTCAAACAAGTTGAAATTTTGAAGAAAAAAACTCTTTTTTAAAAGAATAAACAACAAAGAATGTAATAAATTAAGCAAATAAAGTATGCATACTTTAATTGCAACATGATTCCTATGATTCTTTTACCAATACTGATATCAACAAGCACTTCTCTTAAGTTTGACTCTTGCAAAACTTCTGCTTCTTATATTTAAGAACCGAACCTAAAGCGTACCTCGTTCTCTGGCTACCGTATAAGCCTATCCCCTTGTATCCGATTCCTAATGAGTGTCGTACCACGCTTTCGTACCTGTTCCATGAACTGGAACAAACCAGGTTTCATGCAACTATGATCCCGCACATAATATTTTACACGTACTTTGAAATTCTTGAATTTTTGTTGACTATAATCCATGATTTTGGATGTTTTGACCAAATCATAAATTGTCATTCCATACATAATATTTGTGTACGCTAGAATTCCCAAATTTTTATGGACACCAATTATTGTGCTCATCTATGTCCAAATCACATGTTATCATCCTATATAGAATATTTTTTTGCATATTGCAAAAGATTTTGAATTTATGTGGATAATTATCCATGCTTTTGATCATTTTCAATGAAATCACAAGTTGTCGTCCCGCATAGAATTTTTTTTTTATATTCTTGAGATTTTCGAATTTCCGTGGACTAACCCATGATTTGGGCTGTTTTGACCAAATCACAAATTATGATCCCGCATTACCGCATAGAATGTTTTATGTGTACTCAAATTCCCGAATTTCTGTTAGCTATAACCCATGATTTCAACTAACTTCATTTAAATCACAACCTTTCATCCCTCAATAAATACTCTATGCATGCTCCAAAATTCTCCGGTTCTGTGGGGTATAAACCGTAATCTTTGCTGTTTTCAGTCAGATAACAAGTTGCTACCCCAAATAGAGTATTTTATGCATAATCCGAAATCGTCAAATTTTTGTGGACTATATAACTCATGATTGTGGCCTTTTTCATCCAAATAACAAATTGACATTCACTATAAGTGGGATGGATGCACAAAATGAGCAGGATAGATCAATACCTTCTGATAGAATATGGATATCTTCAAATTCTGCCTCTCTTTGGTTAACTATGGGCATGTTTGGTTCAATAGAGGGTAGGAATAGGATTAGGAATTCTATTTTATTTATGGATTCCAACCTAATCCATAAAAAAATTATAGACAAGTTTTAGTTTTATGAAATCCTATTTTTTTGTATTCTATGTTTGTTTCACCCAAAGGATTAGGAATAGGATTAGGAATCAGAATAAAAAAGAGGAGAGGTGTCAGAAATTCCACCCAATTCCTAGCAAATGGACTGGATTTGGATTTCCTGAAATATACACTGTTTGAGCCACTTTATAGATTAGCAATTCTATAAAAATTTTTTGAACCAAACTCAAGATTAGAATTCATTTGGAATCCATTAATTACGAAAACGTCATTGTCAGGTCCAAATACCATTCCTATTCCATAAAATTGGTGAAACAAACAGGCCCTATGTGAAGACCGGTCAACCAACAGAGGCTCCTAGATCCTCTCCCTCTCTTTTTTCCCCTAAAGGATGGGGCTTCACGATGAAAGCCACAGCCCTGCTCCTAGAGTAATCTTAAAATGTTGCAATCCTCGAATCGGTTTTGATATTATTATCATATTAAAGCTGAGGAAATATCTTTCGGATTGATGACATAGGTTTATGTGAATCTCTTTACAATGATAAACACCCCATAAACCCACTGTAAACACAAAAAATCGAGGTCTTTCATTCAACAGTGAATTTTTAGCCAGAAGGGTGCTTATTGAGGTACCTTTTGGGCAGTAAAATTTATGCTATAAAACAGGTTTAGATAAATGTTCTTGAAGTAGTAATTTATGATCATCATTTGATGTTCCTCTTACTGGAATGAGGGTATTTAAGCTTTTCCATTGGAATGTATTGGTTATAGAGCATGACTCCTGCGATGCTAATACTTAAGACTTAGAGTCATTAAATTCCCTACTTCAGTTTGGCACCATATTTAAGATTGTATAGTAGGCTTCAACAAAATATTGACCATCAAAACTGCTTGGAAGAAATGATGCATTCTAGCAAGCGGATCATGAACAGTAAAAATGCTCAGCCTGTTATTGAAGACTTTTGTGCCTACAAAGGCTATAATGACCGGGGTATAGTGCCCTATAGTTTCAAGAAACTATTAAGTCAAAGCAACGATATCTTCTATTGTTGATATGTTTAAAATTAGTCCTAGGCTGATGGTCTCGCCTTCTTTTCAGAACTACAATACCGAGCTCCTTGTCGACATGGTGAGGCAGCAGTTCAAGAGAAATATGCATGAGACTGATCCCGATAAGATCCAAAAATTAAAAGACGAGTGAGTGAATAACTATTTGTTCTCTTTTTTTTTCTCACCTTGTTTACATGTTCTCTTATTTAGCTCTACTTAACAAACTTGCACTTTGTGACTCCTGCAGTGCTGCTAGAGGTCTTATCAACCATATGCTTTACGAGTCTCAGAAGATGATAAATCCAAAGTCCTCTCGCGCACGCTCAGCGTAATCTCACTTTTGATGAATGCAATCAATCTTATGTGTTTGAAAGTCTATTTTGTTACCTGAGCCCAAGATGATATGACATTATGTTTTAATTGTTTCAAATTTTTATGATATAACGGAATAAATTTTCATGGTGTTTGCTTTTGTGCGAGGAAAACTTGAATCAGTTGAAAACAAAGTTGCATGGGTCCAAACAGCTGAATAATGTTATAAACTCTCTTGGTTGTAGTCTAATTGTGGTCTTTCCCTCAGCAGCAGGATTTTAATGTAGTTATTGTGATCAACTTGGTCAGTGTGACTCTCAATATATAAAGAAAATAAAGCCGCCGTGCATTTTTAATATCCAGAATTTTTGGTTAGGGTATCTCCAACAGCTTCTCTAAAATTTTCTCCAAAATGTGGAAGCAAAAGTCATATTCTCCAACTAATTTTTACACAAACTCCAACAGCTTTCCCATTTTGAAGAATCCTTTTTTCCCTCTAAAAATTTGGAGAATGCTGCAGATTTGGGGAAGCTTCCTCCTTTTTTCTCTTCCATCCCTATTTTAGGGAATGAGATGGGGAATCTGTTGGACCAAAAACCTAACTAAATTCTCCAAAAGTGAAAAATGTGGAAGTTGTTGGAGATGCTCTTAATGTCCTCCCTTTTCCCTCTTGAAAAGCCCTCAATAAGCAAGAGACATGGTAATAAAGTACATTGTGATGCCACCTATAAAATTTGAGACTTTGAATGATATAATGAATATGAGGTGAACTTGTGTCAACTTAGGTGGAGAAGAGGATTTTGTCCTCCAAACTTTCTATCCACTCATATATATATACATATATGAAGTCTCTTCATTTCTTGCATGTATCTAGGGGTGTCCAAAAAGCCCGGAGTCCGTGCCCGGCCCGGTGTCCGGCTCGGTCGTGCCCGGGCCCGGGCCCGGGTCGCCGTTGACGAGCCCTGTCCGGGCCCGGCCCGGGCCCGGAACAGTGCCCAAATTGGGCACTGGGGCTTCGAATGGCGGGCCGGCCCGGCCCGGCCCGGCGGCCAGATTTGACCGTTTTGCCCCTTAAAACGGCTATTTTTCGAGGGTTTTTTGGTCATTTACCTAGGGGGCTGCTTCTATAAATAGAGGGGGGGTTTCAATTCATTTCCTCACAACAAAATTCATTTATTTCTCTCTCTACTACTCTCTTATACAATCTTATACTATCTCATACTAATATACTATCCTATAATCTTTTGTATTTTCTAATACTTCCAACAAAATGGCTTCTAGGTCTGATTATGAAGAGCAACATGCATCTCCTACCGATCCAGAGATGAGTCCTCCTACAACAACTCCTCATCCTACCGGTGTTAATCCTGAATCTGGTGGCGACGAATCTACGGCACCAAGAGCTCCAAAAAGGCCGAGGTCTGATGTATGGAATTTTTTTGAGAAGATAGACGTCACCAAGGATGAACACGGTAGGATCATCTCTCAGAATGCGAAATGTGCGTTGTGCGGCCAGATATTCAAAGCTCATCATAAGAGCGGCACCAACCATCTCAAACGGCATATTGAAAAACACAACAAAGGCCAAAATCTACAAGGTGATATCCGGCAGTCTATGCTTTCCCAATCATCCTCTTCAGGTACCCTCGGCAGTTGGAATTATGACGCTGCCCGAGCCCGGAAATGCGTAATCAGGTTTATTGTTCTTAAAAACCTTCCTTTTAAATTAGTAGAAGATGATGAATTTGAAGATTTATTTAGAGATGGTTTTTATCCTGCATTTACAAAATTTTCTCGTCAAACCTGTCAACGTGATATTTTAAAATATTATGTTGAGGAACAGGGAAAAATAATTTCTTATTTTAAAAATTTAAACTGCAAATTTTCTTTAACTTCTGATATTTGGTCATCTAGAGTGCAAACTGGTTATTTATGTATAACAGCACACTGGATTGATGAAAGTTGGAAAATGTTTAAAAGAGTTGTTTCTTTTATTGCAATTGAAGAGTCACACACTGGTATTAATGTTGCAAATTTAATTGTTGAAGAACTTATGAAACTAGAAATTGATCAAAGAATATTTACTCTTTCACTAGATAATGCAAGTAATAATAATGTAGCTGTTGATTTTCTGAAAATAACTTTGTCATTGCCATGTCATGGTGAGCTTTTTCATGTTAGATGTATCTGTCATATTTTAAATTTAATTGTTCAAAGTGCATTTTCTGAAATTAAACCCATGATAGAAAAAGTTAGAACAGTTACTAATATGCATAATGCTTCTGAAATGAGAATTAAAAGATGGAAACAATGTTGTAAAAGAAAAAATTATAAGCCTAGACTAATTCCAAAAGATGTTGACCATAGGTGGAATTCCACCTATGCAATGTTATCTGTAGCAATAGAATATAAAGAAATTATAAATGATTTTATAAATTTTTATGCTTCTAGTTCTAGCTCTGGTAGTGCTTATGGAATAACTGAAGATGAATGGACAGTTATATGTAAATTAAATGAGATGTTACAAGTTTTTTATGATGCTACTATGTTATTATCTGGTTGTTATTATCCAACTATTACTTTAGCTGCTTTACAAATTTTAAATATTCAAAAAAAATTTGCAAAATATCGTATGGATGATATTTTTGGAAATATAATTTTTCAAATGGAGAGTAAAATTAATAAGTATTTTAGGCCTATTCCTCATATTTTTTGTATTGGTGTTCTTATATTTTAGGCCTATTCCTCATATTTTTGGTATTGGTGTTCTTATTGATCCATGCTTGAAGGAAATTGGCCTTCGAAGTTTGTTACAATCATTGTATGGTGGACAGATTATAGACTTAGATGATGGATCCACCCTTACTGCTACTACTCATCATTTAGCTATTAAAAATTATTTTCAAACCTTATATGATGAGTATGCAGCTAGATATGGTGTAGCTACACAACAGTCTATAGCTTCGGCACCTTCAGCTTCGAGCACAGGTCGAGGTAAAAAGTGTAAGTTTTGATAGGTATGCAATGTAGCTGAACTAACTGGTGGATCTGGAACTTCATCAGGATTAGAGGTTTCTGAAATAGATGAATATTTATCTGCTTCCTTAGTTAAATGTCAAGGAAATGCTTTAGATATTTTGCAATGGTGGAAAGTATATGGATCAGTTTCATATCCTATACTTTCCACCATGGTTCGTGACTTACTATCAGTGCAGGTTTCGACTGTAGCCTCGGAATCCGCTTTCAGCACAGCAGGACGTTTGATCGACGACCACAGGACATGCTTAGATTCGTATACTGTACAAGCGGTGATGTGCTTACAGGATTGGTGGAGATACGAGAAGCGAACATAAGGCGTCGAACGGATTGCTATGATTGAAGATAAATTTGAAGAGTTGGGACTAGCAGATAGATATAATGATTAGATAATATTCATAAAATTGTAATTTTTATTTCTTAGCTTTAAAATTGAATTAAATTATTTCGAAAAAAGTTGCAAATGATAGTGATATGGGTGAGTAGGTGCCAACCTAGTTGGGATTTACTCATCTATTGTGATGCGACGAATTTCGAAATAAATTTATACTTGTAAAGGATTTACCGATTATTAATAAAGAAGTTATTTTTATCATTTTTTGTACTTGTAATTTATGTCATTTCATTTCAAGTTATTAATTAAATTTATGACATTTTTTATAATAATTTATGATTTATGGTTTTGTTAAAATTTTAAACAAATAAAAAAAATAAAAAAAATTTAAAAAAATCAAACCGGGCCGGCCCGGTGTCCGGCCCGCTCAGGCCCGGGCCCAGGCCCGGTTTCCCGGGCCCAGGCCCGGTTTCCCGGGCCGGGCCGGATGGACAGCCCTACATGTATCCCTAGGTTCCTTAATGGATAGAAAGTTTGGTGGATAGTTCATTTAAATTGTCATAATAATTTCTTTTATCTATATTGTGATATGTATCAAATAGATATGAGAGCCTATATTTTGAATGATTTGTATCATGGAATAGTTATGATAGACATTATATATGGCCTTATCTAAAATTACTAGTTAAGATTTGCGTAAACCATTTCAGCCCGAAGAACCTATATGGAAGCTATACCCGGCCCAGCTAAGCACTAAAACAACAGCGACCGTGTGATGGAACTCCAACCATCCGATTGCCACCCGCGTTATTCTCTATAAAAACACCTTGAGAGCCTCTAGGGTTTCTATTCCAGTGCGAGGCTCGAGATTAGGGTTTTTTCTTCTTTTTCTTTTCGAGAGAATCACCATCCGGAGGTTAAAGCGGCGGGATCTCTCCCCGTCCACCTTGACAAAGATCCCCTTCGTCTTGGCCCGCCGCCGTCGTTAGGGTTGTTGTACATCTCAGGTACTTAAGAGAGAGAGAGAGAGAGAAATGGCCATCAAGGTGACCAAGGCCGAGAAGAAACTGGCGTACGACAAGAGGCTATGCAGCCTCTTGGATGAGTACAGCCAGGTTCTGATCGCCGCCGCCGACAACGTGGGGTCCAACCAGCTCCAGAACATCAGGAAGGGGCTCCGTGGGGATTCAGTGATCCTCATGGGGAAGAACACCCTCATCAGGCGTTGCATCAAGTCTCACGCTGAGAGCACCGGCAACAAGAACTACCTTAACCTCCTCCCCTTGCTCGTCGTACGTAACCCCCGCTTTCCTTTTCTTTTCTTTTTTTTATTTTTCCTTAACCTCCTCCCCTTGCTCGTCGTACGTAACCCCCGCTTTCCTTTTCTTTTCTTTTTTTTATTTTTATTTTTTTAAAAAGAAGAATCTTTATATGTACACGCAATGGATCTCCATCTCTCTCTCTGTTTTCTTTTTAATGACGCCGCCGCTGCGATTGTTTGCGATGCAGGGAAATGTGGGGTTGATCTTTACCAAGGGAGATCTCAAGGAAGTTAGCGAGGAGGTCGCCAAATACAAGGTTTCGCTCTTATCCCCTCTTTTAACTTCTGATGATGGAAACAACGCATTTGATTAAATCAACTGATGCTGTTTGGAAATGCTGATTTTAATTTGATGCTAATCAATAAACAATCTGTTTGTATAATTTATCGATCTAAAGAAGACGTCTTACAATGTATTCGGTTGCATAAATTGCTTCGTTATTCATGTTGACATCTGTTAATTTGTTTATGGATTTTGGGCACATTGTTTACCTTACAAAGGTGATCTTGGTGTACCGTATAAATCGTTGCCTTTTAGAAATTTTGGGAATGCGCCTATAATTGCTCATGCACCCTCATTTGACAATTGAATGCCATGCTCAGTCGTTTAGTTTGTAAAGGGCACCTTAACATGGTCATCTGACATGAGAGTTTATTGTTATGCTTGTTAAACCATTATTGGATTGGAAGCATCTGTTCTGTACATATCCCCTCTTCAATCCTTGTCAAAGAACTAGTTAAGGAAAACATATATGGTGACCCATCTTTAACATGTTAAAACCTTGTTGAGCTGTTCAATTGGGCTATTTTTGCTTTTCCTATTCACTCTTTTTCTTTAAATTAAATGCTTGACCTCTACAAGTTACTCGAATGTGGGAACTAGAGTGTTTGGCCTGATCACTTGTTTTTACTTGGCAACTTCTAAGTTGTAACTTAAAAAATATATATTGGGATGTCTTAATAGAAAAACAGGAAGGTTGCCATATTGTCCTTTCGCTTTTGCTGTCAGATGCTTGCGTGTGTTGATTGTCAAAAATAAGTTCTAAAATTACACATTGCAGCTACTTGTATGGATAACGTAGTTTTCGAAACCTTATTGTCGATGGTATTAGTCACAGAAGCTATTTGTTTCTTAAAGGCACACTGGTCATGCCCTCAAATTCCTTTCATATAAAATTGTTTTTCCCACTTTGCACATGCTTCTGAGGTTTTTATTTTACACTTAACCAGAAAGCCCAGTATCTGATGTGGACGCAATGAATATTGTAATTAAAATATGCCTCCCAGTTGACCTTATTTCTAAGTATTGCAGCTCTTATAAACGTCTACCGATGAATTTATGTTTTCTCTCCTTGTCTGTTTAGAGTTACTGAAAGATGCATTGATCTGTATCGCTCAATGACAATTGCTACATCTTTTTTCAGAATGCAATAACATTCTCTTTATTTGTAATGTTTTATTCCTCTTAGTGGAGATTAAAATTTTAATCTCCGTTGAAACTGCCAGATTTTGTGGATCATCTAATTAGTCTCTGATACTGTACATGTGATGATCTAAACTGCTGTTGGATTGCTTGTTTCTCTTGTCGTAAATCAGGTTGGAGCACCTGCTCGTGTTGGACTTGTGGCTCCCATTGATGTCGTCGTCCCCCCTGGCAACACTGGGCTGGATCCCTCTCAGACCTCTTTCTTCCAGGTTGATCATTCAACTATTGGGTACATTGCAATGATTGCTTGTTGATGACAACAAACGACTCTTATCTCTTAATTCTAATTTCAGGTGCTAAACATCCCCACCAAGATCAACAAGGGTACTGTTGAAATCATTACCCCTGTTGAGCTGATCAAGAAAGGAGACAAAGTGGGTTCCTCTGAGGCTGCCCTCCTGGCCAAACTTGGGATAAGGCCCTTCTCATACGGGCTTGTGGTTCTCTCTGTCTATGACAATGGATCTGTCTTCAGCCCAGAGGTGCTCAACCTCACTGAGGATGACCTCGTTGACAAGTTTGCAACTGGTGTTTCTATGGTTGCTTCGTTGTCCTTGGCTCTCTCTTACCCAACTCTTGCAGCCGCGCCTCACATGTTCATCAATGCCTACAAGAACGTCCTTGCTGTTGCTGTTGATACTGAATACACCTTCCCACAGGCTGAGAGGGTGAAGGAGTTTTTGAAGGTAATGTTTGTTTCTGAATGCAAGGTTGTTAATGATGTTTTCATTGTGCATTTAGCAGCTCAAACTAACTAAGATCTTAAATTGTGGTTGTAGGATCCGAGCAAGTTTGTTGTTGCTGCTGCCCCTGTTGCATCTGCTGAGAATGCTGCTGCTCCTGCTGCCAAGGAAGAGGAGAAGAAGGACGAGCCTGCTGATGAGTCTGACGATGACTTGGGATTTAGCTTGTTTGACTAAGTTCTTTGTCATCAAAGCACTAAAGTTACTTTGTTTGGTTTAGGGTGCTTCAGTTACTTAAAACTTATTTGGTTTTTTAGATTTATTCGTTATCTATATGAGAAGCTAGGCTTTAGGACTTGATTTTACATGTTTTTGTTAGAATTCTCGACTTGGTTTTGTTTAATTTTTGGCTAGTTAAGTGTGATGTTGATGTGTTTTTAATGTTTGCTTCTTTTATGTTGATGTTTAATATTTGGCCAGTTAACTGTGGTGTTGAAGGTGCGGCAGAAGCTGCGTCAACTATAATCTCTACTGTAAACTTCGTGGCAGGTAGAGCTGATGTGTATGGCTTTCTGTTATTCATACGGCTTACATGCCTTGTTTCATATTGCTATAGTAAACAAGAGCTGGGAAAAGCGTCAAAAGTAAAAATATTTGCGCCAAATAAATGTTAAATCTGTTCTATTATGTATGCTCTTGCCGTATGTAATCGTCTATTAATTGCATCGTATTCGAGCATAGTTCTCACCCGACGAATCTAATATGTATCTGTTTTGATGGGAGATGGCTGAATCAACAATTGTGACCATGACACCATCATAATATTGAACTTGTAAAGGTGTTAAGTGGAAGATAGGACACCAATCTCTCTATTACGCTGGTTTCGTATTCTTTATAATCTTGAATGGTTTTGATTCAAATGTGATGTGCCAATAAGAACATCGAAGTTGTTCAGGGCAAAGATGCTACTCATGGGTGCAGCATCTAACGGTTCGCTACTTGACCATCCAAAGTAAATATTCAACTATTTAGACTGGGAAATTATTTTCGGCATAATGCATTATTATTTTGTGAATTGAGATACACTTACATAAATTTTGCATTATTATTTTACTTATCTTTTTATCTTAGGGAAAATTACCTCTAGCCCCCAAATCG